GTTCGTCAACGAGCATCGTACCATGCTCGTTGACGAGCACCACGTCATGCTCGTTGACGAGCACTCACGTGACCTTGCTCGTTGACGAGCTCCGTCACGTGTGTCAGCTCGGCTGAGAGCAATCCCCTAGGCGCCGGCCGGGCGGCCTTGCCTTGCTGCGCCTTCCCCCAGGCCTCCGTGTTTGGTTGGCGGTTACTTATTGCTTGTCGTCCTATCGTGGGACGTAGGATCGTAACACTATTACACAGACTATTACAATCCAACCGATAGTCAAACCTCTATCACTCCAAGCTTTGCTTAAGTGATAACCCCTGCCGGCTTTCTGTATCTCTGCTCATCCCTGAGAACCAATCGAACCGTACGCTGAGCTCCGCTTAACATACAAATCGCAACAACTACGTCCAACGGCTGCAGAGTCTGGGTACTGTGAAGTGGTAACACTGCAAGTATAATCCGTTTCTGATGACAGTATTCAATGAAAGCCTGTGTCAGGTGACTCCCATGGCCATCTACAATCAAGAGCCGGTACTTGTTCATTGCTTTCCTCTTGGTGTAGCGGTCAAACACCTGCTCAAGCCAAGCTAATCCAATGTCGTTGTTTGTCCAGCCTGTAGGCAAAGAAGCCACATGGATTGAGTGTGTTCCTGCCTCAATATCAGCGACCCAATGGCTCTGGATGGTGGAGTCTTTTGATGCAAAGATGATGCCAGGGGGAAGTGCTGTACCATCCATGCAAATAGCAGCCAAAAGGCTCACCCACTCACGTGAGCCGTCTTGACAAGCCTGTCTAACCTGCTTCTTTTCATATAGATGCCTGCTGAAGATGCGCTTTGATCTTCCCAGTACCCCAATAGCAAAGCCCTTCTCATCCATATTGTACGTGTGCTCAGGCTCAAGGTCAAACTCAATAATCTTCTGCTGCAGAAGCTTGAAGTACAACTTGTACTTATACCCTGACTCAGTGTTGTGGCAGTTAGAGTTCATACCCGTCACCCATTGAGAGGTGAGCTGGTTGCGGTGATGGTGGAGGAAGCGGGTAACCCACTTATCAGAGCAAGGAGTTGAGGCAACAGCAGATGCAAAATTTTGAACCATAGCTCTTGTAGGTGGTAGGTGACACGCTGTAAGCCACTCAATATAATTGATAAGGTCAGATTCCTGCTGGTCGTTGAGTTTGCGGCTGTTTGTTGTCATTGTAACGACTCTGCACACAGCAAGGCTTTGGGGCAGACTAGCTTACAGCAGCTAGAGGCAAAGCTAGCTGGCTGGCACTATATATTATACTATGCAATGAATACTTGCTTAAGTATTCTTGTGCTTACCTTTTGGTATAACTTGGAGATGTCACGTGGTATTGATATCGAGGGCAGGGCGCTCATCCATTACAGTCATAACCTCCCGGGACACCTGCACACGTCGGTGCGCGCGCGACAACGTAGAACACGCAACACCATTTTTTTTTTTTTTTGCAATATGAGTATATACAAGTTTTTCGCCTGGCTTCAATTTACAAATCTCATCAAGCGCATCTTTAATTCCTGGCATGGTTGGTTGAGTAACCATGCGTTGAAAACTGGTGTTGTGATGCGCCGGGCGTTTGGTGTCTCCGGGCGTTCGGTGTCCGTGCACGGTACAGTAAGCTGCGCACAGATCATTCTAGCCTTTTGATATAGGCCCTCATTCCTCAAAGTGCCGTTTGCTAGCCCAAGCCCTCAATCAGTTCGAATAATTTTCACACATCACACTTCTGGCTGACCTTTTGACTGGATTTACTCCTTGCGCTACTACCATCATCTAGGCCTGCAGGATGACAGTAAGTGATTTTTCTTAGAAAGGTATCAAATTACTCACGCATGATACCAGCCTATCGCTGCACTTCAAGCAGCCGCAATGCCCGAACTGTACAGTTCAATGCCTTCCAGTCCACAGATTAATGTGCTATATCTGGCCCCGGGACAAGAAATCATCAGCCCAGAACAATTTAGGGCATCGAATCCGGAGATATTGGCTACGGGAGCGGGCACACAACTCGCGAAAATGTCGCCATCAATGTTAGTCAAATACGGTACCCATGCGTCTCTCATCGAAGCCAAGAACATGCTGTATGTGGCTGAGAGGACATCGATACCTGTCCCGAGACTGTTTGCAGCATATGCATACGGGCCTCTAGACCGAGACGTCGACGACTTCGGGAGTGTGTACGATACATATATCTTCATGGAGTTCATCGAAGGCGAAGACCTAGGAAAGTCATGGGGAACATGTACCTCTACTGAGAAGCAAATGATCTCGACAGACCTGAAGAAGCATATGACAGAGCTTCGCTCTCTTCCAGCGGCCGATTACATCGGATCCGTACATAAGGGACCAGTCACTGATGTTATATTAGAATGGTCTACAACATCTAGAGGTCAGTTCTAATACGCATATCAGAGAATTGATAGCAATGTCTCTAACTAGGCCTCTAGGTCCGTTTACAAGCGAAGCAGACTTCAATGCTACGATTGCCGACACATTTGTTGCTAAATCAAAAGGCCAGATTGGTCCCTACATTCGTGGCATGATTGATGCACACAAGCATGGAATTGTCTTCACTCATGGGGACCTTAGACCTGATAACATTATCGTCAAGAGTGGTTGTGTGACAGCAATCATTGACTGGGAGATGGCAGGGTGGTACCCAGATCATTGGGAGTTTGTTAAAGCATTTCATCTTGAAGTGTTCGCCGATGACTGGGCATCACATCTACTAGGCATTCTCACACCTTACTATTGTGAGCAGTTGACGCATGCCAAGTTGATGAGTGTTCTATGGTAGCTAACAATGATGCTGCCACCAACGACGGATAGGCCGAACGTAGACACAACTGAAAACCCTAGTGCATTCGTAAAAGGAGATGTTTCTGTGTCCAAGACTAGTCCCCAAGATTGACGCACTCAAGTGCAAGCCTCAAAAAGAGCGAGATACGACGTGCCAAGAAAACTTCCACTCGGCGATCCAGGTAGGCTTAGGCAGCCAAACCACTCCTCCGCAGAAGAGTACGAACTTCTCCGAGTACCTCAGCCACCCAAGCGGCGCAGTCCCTGACTGGAGGATCTGGCTCGCTCTCGGTGAGCGCACGGGGATCGTATGGAGGAGGTCGAGTGCTTGCGATAGATTCGAAGTCTAAGAGGTAAGACTTCGGCAGTTGGAATTGATAAACCTTTTCCTTGAACGATCGGCTGCGACCAAAATTGTAACCGGGGCGACACTCGTAGTCCATTCCCATGCCAACAGTGCCTTTAACATGGTAGAATCGGCCTCCCGCTTGACCTTCGAGCTGTGCTGGAACCAACGCAATCCCTTCGTGAGCTGGACCGCTGGGTTGCGTGAAGTAAACTATGTACACGTTGTACCATACAGTCTCCGTGGATGCCATGATTGAGTATAAGACGGAAACGACGAGAAATTATGGTTGCAACCAAAAATGAATGAGCAAGTACAAATGTAGTTGAAGCGATGCAAAGATATACTGGCTGATGTAAATTCAGACTAACATAGCCGTACTTTCGCCGACTTTGTAGTCAAATTCAGGAATAGAGAGTTTTGGCATTGCGACAGAAGTGCTGATCGAGCCGCCGTGCAGTACAAGATTGTATTCTGAGGTTGTTGTATTGGGTAAGGATTCTCGAGTGTTATCGACTGTGCCGTATTAGACGCTGGGTTGTCCTATATAGGCTAATACCATTTCGGCAAAGTCAATGCCCAGCTCCAGTCAATGCGCTTTGCAGGAGGCGTGATTCACAGCGGGAAGCACTGGGGACTGAGCCCGGTAGCGCCCAGTCAGCACCACGGTGTGCACTTCCTCGACAGACTGCCAGCACAGGCCATCGCAGCCATCGACCGCTGTTGTCTCTTGATCCGTCGCGGTTGTGTAGATCCAGACAATCTCTGGCTCTGACCTAACGTTATCTGCGATTTCTGCTTTCACGTCTGAGCATCGATGTAGTATCGGTGAGTTGCAAAAGTTTCTGGGCCACCCCCTTTTCTGGCATAGTACAACGCAGAAGCTTGGGTCATTGTGTGTGACGGTTTATGGAGTAAAGCGGTCATGTCTGCCACGTGTGCTGGTGCAGTGCTCTTGCCTGTTCCAATAGCACTTTCTGTCTGAACGACAGATACGTCATGTAAACAGACTCCGCTGGGGGTTGAGAGAGAGACAGAACACCGAACAACAACACAACAGAATATACTGATTTTACTGCTTCGCGCGGTTACCCCTGACTTACTGCCCTGCGCGGTTACACCTTCACTTATTGCATTTACTGCAACATTGTGCTTTCGGATTTCACAGAGCGCAACAACCTCATGCAAGAAGACAATTGTTGAAAGACTGCCAAGACGATGAAGAGGATGAGATGTGCATGATATATCATGCACACTAGCCAGCAGAGCGTCAGCTCGCTCTGGAGCTTTTCCATCTCATGAAAGACTCGGGGCAAAACACCTCCCGAAGACCTCAAGCTTGTTGATGCTCAGGGTCAATTTCTTCGTATCCCACAGCAGATTCGTTATCTGATTATCAGATTCGCGGCTATACCATTTTTGACGGCAAACGAAGGGTAGTGAGGTGACCGTACGAGCGCACCAACTCATAGCCAATGTCATGGAGGCTTCGTAGCCGTAGTTCATCGCTGGAAATCAGCCAGGCGCTAAGTTAAGCACAATCCTAAGGAGGCGGGAAGTAAATCAGCATAGTGGAATTCAGGACAAGTGATTAGATGTTCGGCTGTGCAGCGCGCGTGCGCACAAACACTCAGCGCTGTCGATCACTGGAATACCGGTAGCGTAGATACAACGCTAAAACACACATGTGTATTTTAGCGTCCTATCGATTCTAGGCACTTGGCGAACAGCGCCTCTGCAATGAGCGAATTACAGAGACCAGGTAGCGCCATCAAGATTAAGAAAACTCGTTTAAATGCTTGCTCTCAGTCTACCTCGCAGATCTTTGACGCTATACCGAAGCCTTGGTATTTTGTGTGCATTTGGAAGCTGTCGGAATTGTGACCATTCCTTTTCCCTCAAGTCGAATCTCCTTAAACTGAATTGTTTTTCAATGGAGCTTTACGAATCTTCACAAGTAAGTTGGAATATGGACTTGGGCGTGATTATAGCCTGACGTACCTTTATCGTGGGATCGTAAGTCGGAGGTATGTGGGATCCAGAGGCAACAAACACAGGACTATTCGGAGGTGCAGAAGGTGTGGTTACACATTGCAATTTGCAGTCGAATGTCCCATACATTGCGTTCGTTTTGTTGCTGCCTGTTTGTACCTCGTGTCCCAGACCTGATCCGTGTAACGGAATCATTTGGCTACATTGCTTGCAGCGCCCCTCCTGATCTAAGAGAGTAGTGTCGCCACGCTCCAAGCATGGTGGACAGCGGTCCAGAGGCTGCAAATTAGAGAATGGTGTTGGGGTGGTGGATGACATGTTGAGGTGTATGGCGAGGTACGGAGTCCTTCTGGCCGACTGCCAGTGGCTGTACTTAACTTAATACCCGCTTACCAAAAACCTACTTGATGGCTGAAAAGGATGGTGGTGGTGAGGAGGCAGGTGAACAGCCTACAACGAGGGTGCGCGCGCAGAGGCACTGCAGAAATTTTAGATACAGATGATAGCGACAGTTCTGAATAGTACTGTGGTTGAGATTAATAATCCTGTAATAGTCGCGAGTTTGGTAAGGGGCGCGGCTCGGGGATGGTGCGCGGCTCGGTGATGAAACACGTTATGTGCTTTCCCGTTTTCAATAACCACGCCTTCTACCAGCCTGTAACGACGCAGGCCAGTAGGGAAGTTATCCGGAACAAGTGTGAGTCCGCTACGAGGCATATGGGAGTGCTGGGACGTTGAGAACACTAGGATTGATTTCCCTACACCTATAGGTCTTGTACGAAAGGATACAGAAAAACTACTCTATCTAACAACTGTGTCGAACTACTTAAATATACAGTTCGGAGCACAATCGGACCATTGGGTTGTCAGGTGCGATGTGATAGTCTTGCATGAAAAGGAGGCGATGTGCAAGGGTTCCGTGCAGGTATATGTGGGAATCGGACCAGAGTCACAGCGGTTCCGGTCGTGATTGTTACACGGATCCAGGAGGGTGGAGACCTGTCAAAGGAACAGGCAGAGGATTTGATGGCCCAATGTGATGTTGGGATGCAGATTGAGGGGGAAATGCATGAAGGTAGGGCCCGGACAGGTGCAGGCGAGCAGCGCAAAAGGCACTGCAAGCGCTGTGGTAAAACAGGACACAACTCGCGCACATGTGCAAAAGACGTAGTAGACGTTAGCAATTAATAATATCTACTGCAGATTACAATATAGCATTGTGCTGTTAAGCAATCGCACGCAGAGGTCCCAATGGCTTGTTGAGGCGGTCCACTCGCTTAGCCGGTCCACTCGCTATACACTCACGTTAATCCCATAAAAGATTAACCACTGAGACGAACTGTGGCGCAGACTGGCGGCTTTCTTTCCTCACCTCTCCAACATGTCTTTCTAAGCTGGGCACAGCACCGAAAACAGCGAGAACATAAAACGCAAGATTTATTGATAATGACACGGCGTTAGTCATTTCCTCGAATTGCTGCAAGTTATGCTATAATATGCAACTTTGTGCTCACGCGCATCCCTATAGCCACTGAAAGCAGAGTTCAGAACCCAAGGTACAGTAGAGGACGATTGGCTCTTGTCTACACTTCGCTAAAAACACACGTGGGGGACTGGGTCAACAATCAGTCCCAACGCCCATTCCGACTGTGTTTCCGCACACTGCAGAGCATGACGGTCGATACTCTGATGGTATCCACAACACATTCCTACCGTCATACTTGATCCATATGCTATCGGAGCTGAGGCTTGTGCCTAGATACAGAGGGAGTTCAGGTTCCACAACAGCTACCTCGCTAGAGGTTCCCGGGCTGTGTGTGGCAATGGGACCTATCTCAGAAAGAAGAACAGAGCTGGTGGGATCGAAAGATAGACTGTAAAGAGTCTTGCCAACGTTGAGCGTCTGCAGGGACGCGCCACTGCTCGCATCCCACACCTTGACCGTCTTGTCGTTTGACGCCGACGCCAGCTTGCTCGAGTCGTGCGAGAAGGCTACAGAGGTGACAGTACTGCTATGGCCCTCGAGTGTCGGCAGACACGCGCCGCTGCTCGCATCCCACACCTTGACGGTCCCGTCGACTGATGCCGACGCCAGCTTGCTCGAGTCGTGCGAGAAGGCTACAGAGATGACAGTACTGCTATGGCCCTCGAGCGTCTGCAGACACGCGCCGCTGCTCGCATCCCACACCTTGACCGTCTTGTCGTCTGACGTCGACGCCAGCTTGCTCGAGTCGTGCGAGAAGGCTACATACGTGACATTCCTGCTACGGCCCTCGAGCGTCTGCAGACACGCGCCACTGCTCGCATCCCACACCTTGACGGTGTTGCCCCATGACACCGACGCCAGCTTGGCCGAGTCGTGCGAGAAGGCTACAGAGCTGACAGCGCCGCTATGGCCCTCGAGCGTCTGCAGGCAAGCACTCCAGCCAGCGCGCATGGCTGGCCTGACAGCGATTCCGTTGGGCTCTTCGTGCTGAAACAACCTTCTAGTCACGCTCCCTGTCGGACTGAACAACAGCGCAGATGCATACGTCTGCAGGGGGTAGCTCTCAATCACTCCTTTGTGATACATGACGAATCGGAATGCATCTTGGACAATCTCGATAAGCTTATCGTCAGCCTGCATCTCCTGGAAGAGTCAGCATGTGTAATGAGGATTACACAAATGTGTCATCTTTGCATGCCGTACCTGAACCAGAAAGCATAGCTTTGCCTTTGAAACCACCGCTTTTCCCATACTTCTGCACAGACTGAGCCCTTCTAGCCAGTATAGATATCTCTTTCTCATAAATTCATCGATGGCACTTGCGACTTCCAAGTCGCCAACACCATCAGCCCAAGACTTAGGCTTCGAGTCGTACAGATGGTCAATCCAGTGGACGCACGAGTAGCGTAAGGCTGCAAGCGGGTCTGGATTGGGCGGTCGAAGGTCTTCGATAGCAAATCCTAACACTTCCAGGCTGTACATGTCCCTGCGCAACGTCCGAGACAGAATCGCGAGCGACCTTGAGAAGATCACGTGATGAGTAGCTTCAGCCCCACGCGGGAAGATCTCGTCATATGCCTTGGCGAAGAGGAAGTCTTGCGCGGACTGGTGTACAAAGTAGACGGTATCTTCTCGCAGACTGAGGAACGATCCACAAAGCCCGATGACCTCTCGTACTTCTGCTTCATCGGCCATGTCTTCGAGCGGCTCGGCAAGGGCCACCAGCTCCTTCAGCGTGACTGGTCGATACACAAGCGCTGTCAAAGCCAGCACCTGCTTGCAAAGTGCAGCGTCATCTGACACGCTAATCTGACGCATCATCCGCTCGTACAGTGCGATCAGCCCGGGAGGGAAGCTGTCCAGCTTCTTTAGAACGTTCCGCCTCGCCGTCGCTTCGAGGTCTTGACACACTAACGCTACCCAAAGGAATGTCATCTGCATTTGACGTCAATCGCTGCAACACCGCGTCTTGCGTCTGCTCGTCGTACTTCTTGTGCAGTGCCAACTGAGATATCTTATGTCGGATGAACACCCCTATGGCCATCGATACAGACTCTGTGTTCAGCTCAAGGCTCAACCTGACCTTGTGCCCAGCTTGCTCCAGCTGCTCTTCAATCTCTGGCCAATTGCGGCTCGACACGATCCACTTGACGCGGGAAGACACAGAAGACTGCTTTGCGATGAAGCGGAGCAGTTTCGGCAGATCAGTGACACACTCGTCTAGCGCATCGATGATCAGGTGTGTAGCCCTGAGCTGTGGATCCCGTAGCACGTCCGCGAAGATCTCTGTCAGGGCAACCCAGGCATTCGCATCCTCGAACAACGATTTGCCTGCGTGATCGTGCTTCTTACGGACGTGCGATGCGAGTGACGGTTGCTGACTCACAAGCATGTACAACAGTCCTCGCAACACGGCTGTGGCGCTGTTGATGCGTGAGTCAGTCGCTTGGCAGAAGAAGTACGATACAAGGGCAGTCTTAGGCAGCCAGCTGTGCAGCTCATCTATAATGCCGCAGAGCAGCATGGTCTTGCCTTTTCCAGGATCACCTTCACCCACAGCAGTTGGCTGCGTTGGTCATGTTGCCACCCCTGGAAAGTAGCATTGTCGAGAACCCAGCGGTAGGAGTCAGCTAGCAGTCCACCTTTGGTTTCCTCGATGCGCTTCTTGTCGTCACGCGGATCTGTGCTTTGTATACCATGGACACATCTTTTGGAATTGTCGATCTCGTCCATCAGACGTCTGAACGCACTTGCCGCCCCTTCGGTATAAGCCGGCGCTATCTCAACATCAAAGATACCTGATAGTGAGTACCATGCATCTTCTTCGCGCTTGGTCTCCCGGTCACCTTTCCACCGCAGCCGTTCGTCGACGCTAAATTGGGACAGAGGGGCTCCGTCGAGCGCTTCAAGTGAAATACTAGTGATCTTGTGGATCGATGACTTTAGCGATATCTTGTCGCCAAGCCTCTCCCACTCTTGAGAGAAGAACTCGACTATGCTCGGGGCAAGGAGCTCTTGCAGCGTCCAGCCACGCGCGAACCATCGGCTTGCCCTAAAAGCAGGCTCCCAGGTGAAATTGCCAAGCATGTTATCGAGTTTCCTCTCCCTGTCGATACATCCGACAGATACACGTAGCACTTTGTGGCGTTCTGATACCAGCGAAACATGGACCGGATGGCGTGAGAGAGCTCAGCCTTGTCCGTCTTGTCGATGCAGCACGTGTCGACCCAGAAGTATTGTAAGCCATCTTGTTGTGCTTGTTGTCCGCAGGAGTGAATCTTCTTGTAGCCACGCTTGGCCTTGCCATCGCCTGTCGCAAGGTCTGCAAAAGTCACCTCCTCCGCATCGGCTCCCCAAGTGTGTGAAAGTATTGCATATGGCGGTATTGCGCGATCGTCGAAGCTGATGATGCTGAGCTCACCATGTTCGTCGTAGTGCAAAAGACGCATCGATTCGTGTGGATGTGTGACAGGCGCATAGGGTGAGAAGGAGACGCGAGAGGCTCGACGTGGCAGCCTGGTAGGACGAGAGCGCGGCGGCTGGCTCTCTAAGACGAGCTTACGGAGAAGGGTGCGAATGGCTACAAAGCCCCGGGTGGCTACACGGTTGAAACCACGATCTTAATGTTGCAGGCTGAAGCTGGTGTTTTGCACCATGTTCTGATTCCTGTGAGGATGCTCAAACGGACGGGCTTGAGGCAGGAGCAGGTGCGGCTGATTGCGCTCATGCAGGCCCAGCACAGCCCCAACGAGTCGCATCTTCGCGATGACCTCGCCCCCGTTGCGATGCACTTCTCATCATCCAGCATCTACAGACTCGACTAACCTTGTTTGTTACAGTCGCGAGGTGGCCGGCTGCGGACGACGATGAGCGCGTTGAGACGTCTCTGGGCAGCGCTGCTCAGTGCTGGGAATGAGGCCACGGTGCAGCAACGACGCCGGGAATCGTTCGGAGGCACCGCCAGAAAGCCGCCAATCTGCGCCACAATCGTCTCAGCGACCGATCCGCGGTGGGTATAGCGTCCAATTCAGTACGATATCTTACAGCTGCATCTCCATACGCTAATGCAGGCCACCGCATGGCAGGCGAAGCTAGCGCATCCCGATCCGCTGGGTCGCGACGACAAAGACGGTCAATGCGCTTAGCTGCCTCGGAGGGTCCAACTGGGGCGTCGAAGTCGACCACCCTAGCTACGGCCTTGCCATCAAAGGCACCCAGCTGCTTGTTGTGCTTTGTTAACCCAGGTAGCATCTGGTGCTGCCCCCAGGTGTGTCCAAGCTGATGGTGTGTCGATGTTGAACGTTGTCCCGGTGTAGTCAGCCGTGGTCAATGGCACTTGTGGGTGAGGGTGTGACGAGGGTATACTCCCAGCGCTCGATGCAAGCGAGGTAGGGCGAGGGATTCCTAAGTGTATCAGCATGGATCACAGTCTGTTGAGAGGGGACACGTCCCAGCGAGGGAGCAGGCGCTCGCGCGTCTCGACAATGTGTGTGACGACCCAACCTAACACCTGCGATCAGCGACATCTCGCGGCGGACGAGGCGTACTTCCCAGCGGTCAAAGACCGGGTGCGGTCAAGGTGGCAGGCGTGTGAGTCGAACGGTCTGTGTATGACCAGCGAGGCTCGTCGTCTCGGGCGAGTGTATTTCCCAGCAAATGAGGAGGTATGGCAACGGTGAAGTCAGCGGAGCTCATCAAATTGGATCAGGTATACTTCCCAGCGGCAACGGTGGTCAAGTCTCACACCAAATCAACTTCGCAGGTCTCACTCTGCGTCTGCTACAGTTTCTGGGCCGCGACAGCTCGAGAAGATGACGATCACAGCGGTACCCTCGACCGGAGTTGAAGCTCCACGCAGGCTTCGGCAGCACGGTTGGCGATCGCAGACGTGGTGGTTGTGGTTTAGAAGGGGGAATATTCGCTGCTGCAAAGCTCTGTTATCTAGGTGGCTGCGAGCGTCTAGAGTAATTGCAGAGTTGTCTTCACCTTCACGGTGACCTGTCCTGTCTCCATGGACGAGATGGGAAACAAACACGCCATTGGCCAATCAACATGTGGCTCAGGCTCTGCGCCACTAAACTAAGTGGCTGGGACGCACGTGCCGCAGCGTCATGGTGCTAAGGTTCAATCCCTCGCAAACGAGTCCCAACAGCAGCACTAGTAGGTTTTGTCAGCACTCATGACATTGAGGCTGAACATCACAGCGGTATGGGCACCAGCGACAGAGGTATGGAACGAGTGCCATGAGGCACCAGGCGTCCTTGCTTCATTGAATAACCTTACACAGATATCCCTCTCTGAAAGTGTCACGGTTTGGGGTGCTCCTGCCTCCCGAACCTTACCTGCCATGAGAGTGACTGCCACATCACACTAGCGTTGTTTACAGCTACCCACATATTGTCACGGTTGAAGCGTCTCCTTGCAGTCGGCCGCATGGGCGCTTATCTGCTGATTGGTTGCTACGTCGCACAACTACATGTTGACAGCTACACGACATCAATGCAGACATTTCCTTACGTATAGCTCACTCCGTAGCATGTAGAATAATCAGTTCAATCCTTCAATATTTCCGCACATGCGTACTGATCACTCTCGATCCCCGACAGAATATGACCCGCATGTCTTACTGTTGAAACGATAGTAGCAATCTTTCCAAAGACACGTATGAATTAGCGAGAATTGTGCCATCATATGTGCTTGCTCTTTTTTGATGCGCCGTTGGCGTGCGCACTGGAGCAAATGACGGTGAGCACGATCTAAGTGAAACCTGATAAACATGAGCAGGAGCTGCATGAAGCAGAGGCATACATACGTGGTCAACACCTTGCCACAATAACAAAGTTGATTGACGAGGTTGAACACAATGCCATAAGGGCAGAGTGTCTACTTGCTATATACTTGAGCAGGAGGAAGGTTTGCTTGGATTGCTCGGTACTGAGTATACTGATTGTATTGAGTATACTGATTGTATTGAGTATACTGATTGTATTGAGTATACTGAGCATTGCCGACGTGACCTGATCGCTCGGTACTGAGTATACTTAGCGTTACCGATGTGACCTAGTTGCTTGGATTGCTCGGTACTGAGTATACTGATCGTATCGAGTATACTGAGCGTTGTCACCGTGACCTAGTCGCTCGGTACCACGTCTGGCAGTCTTGTTTGTTCAGTGTTGTTGCAGGTTGCCCTTTGACCGTAACAAAGAGCTTGATCTGGTACGTCGTAGGTGCTTCTGTAAAATGTTGCTCAGCCATCGGCTTCTCTAGGATGTTTCTTGAGAAGCTTAGCATTTAGTCAGCAACCTCTTCACTCATAAAGGTGCACTATGAGGCTTACTACAACCATTGCTCCATCGTGAACTTGTAGGAGTCATGGCTAGATTTAATCAGGGCTCTCTTGATATCTTCAGAGCTGAGAGGTTGTGGCGCGATCTCTTGCCGGGCACGCTTCTTAAAATTCTTGAAATTAATAAGCCTAGCCGGTTTACGCATGGTTCTGGTCAAGTCTGCAAAGGAAGAGGTGTTGCGTCTCTATTTGCACATTGATTGTCGTGGAGAGGGCGCGGAGAGCAAGCGGTAGGGAACGTACGACCGCGTGAAGGTGAGCACCATGTGGAATATCATTGTCAGCAGTTGGCGTGCCGTCAAGGCCACAGATCAGAATCCTGTCTCCAGTTTGTTGTTCATGCGACAAAGAGAGAGAGAGCAAATAGATCTAGATTAAGCCTAGCCTGGTAGAAGACGTGGTTACCAAAAACGGGAAGGCGCATAACGGCTTTCTCAAAACGGTCCCATGAGAGATGACGGGTCGCCCAGGAGAACTTGTTTTCAACGTCCTATGGTCGTACGTAAAAACTCTGTTAAAAATAATTACATATATCTGGAATTATAATGGTGATTATGAGCGCATGACGACCCTACCGCATTGGTTGTATGCTCAGTAGTGATTTCAGAGGATAAGTATACCCGAAAGGAGTGAGTAACTTTCCCCTATAGAAGTCTGGTGAGGTGTAGGAAGTACTGAGAAAGTTGCCGGCGTTGCTTGTTCCCCGGACGATGGAGTGTTGCCATCAGACCAGCACAATCATTTCCAGCTTTTCCCCTGACTCCGCAACCAGTTCTCCATCCATCCAGCCATCAACGTAGCATTCTCTAACAAACTGACACTCAGACCGGCCGTCTAGTCGTCTGAGCAGACACAGACTAAGCCCTCCACAAGATGCAGCGATTTTGTCCTCCACCTCTGCGGCTGCGGGTAGAACGGCCACCTGGAAGTTGCAGAGGACCGCCATTCGTCGAGCATAGCAGGTTACTTTAAAAACAAGGTGCTCCTGGTTGCGACGCGCTACAACAGCCTCGTCAGGCACCTTGAGTGGATCAATGAACAGCGTCCAGTCGATAGCTCGACCACGTCCCCAAATGCGTATGAAACTATTCTCCTTGCTGGGGTTTTCGACCAGACACCTATCGCCAACCAGACTCTGACAGGCAGCCATTTCTAGCTCAGGAGAAACGGTCCCTGTTTCTTTGAGGTCCCGCCACCAGACCCAAGGCTCAACCCAACATCCATCCTGACAGTCCCATAAATTGGTCAGAGTTACGATCTCGACCTCTTGCATGACGACTCCTGTTATGCTCAATGTCGTGCGACAGATTTGTGCACTCACCTCTCCGGGAAAAGGGGTGGTACAAAGGGTTATCACTATCTCGGATGTAGACCATTGATGAGAACCCCGATATAGTCACCGCCTGCCGCCATTTGGGTACCCAGGATGACATGGTTAGTTCAGGGTGAGATTCAGTGTTGAATGTGAGTTATCGACCGCCAGAATGCAGACCAGACTCTAGGCCTTTAAAGACACGTGCATCTCAAGGATGAGAACTTGAGCCACGTTTGTGTAACTTCAACTATATCCGCGCGGTAGTCAACATCGATCGCATCTGGAGGAACGTCGCTGGCAAGGCCCAGAAAGGCGAAAACCCGGCCGAGAGGATTTACACACTTTTTAATCGCATTTCTTGAAGGAATTGTATAAACGGACGGTCTGTGCCGTGTAGTCGGGCGATGAGTGTGGCAACAACAGGGCCTGCTTTATCGTCATAACCACAAGATCTACGAAACTGAACAGGGAAGTCTGAGTCATTAGTGAACGTCCCCTCCCAGTCCACTATAGCCGCAAGTGGATCATTGCGGAAACTGTGATCGCCTAGCCAGAATCAGTTTGGTTTTAGTGTCGTTGCTTCCTGTTGAATCCAGAGTCGGTTCCGGTATGCACAGGTTTGGATCTCAGATATACCTTCGCAGGCGTACCATAAGTCATTACCCTCGTCCTTAGGTATACACTCGAGAACTCTATCAATCTGGCTCCAATAACTTTTCTTGCAAACAAAGACCCTGTCTTCATGCTGAGCTTTAACATGATCGTGAAGAGACTGCATCAAGGCCATCCCCGCGCGTACCTTGCCCTCGTCACTCGGTTTGTCCCGCCACGCGAATATACTTTCTGCAACCCGGTATATTTCCACCATCATATAGACTTGTAGAGCTCGTTCGTCCATGTCTGCCTGATTGATATCAACCCAAAGCATGGAGGAAGGATAGTGCTTTCGAAAATTGCGAAGAGCGTCGTCCAGATTCTCTGTTATTGCGACCGCTGTTCCACCGACTGTGCATGGGTGTGGCGACCGCTTGTGGCCCCAAACATATGAGAGTGCCATGTATTCGGGTAGGTCAGGAGGTGTACCCACTTCAGCTCAATCTCGAGATCGTCGTGGTAGTTACCAGGCTTGATCTCAAGCAGGTGCATCTCACCGCATGCTAAATAATGGACTCATAGGGAGAATGGTGATGTTCAATTTCAGTCTCGTCCATGGTATGCCCGCGGCAGGAGAGCAGAGTTTGGAACTGTCCTCTAATGAAATGAACAGAACGACGCAAAAGAAGCTCCGAGGGATGATTGGGGGGAAAAGAGATCGGCTGGAACTAAATACTCTATTGATGTTGAGCAGTTGAACTTACATTTGCGACTGGATCCCTGGGAGATGCACTAGGTCGTCAGCTCGCATCTCTTTCAATGTTGAATGTCGCCATTTAATCTGACGATCGCCCTGTTGTCCAGTGATATTATTAGTCGAAGGTTACCACCGACCACGCTGTGAGCGTTTGCGGAGCTCTTCCGAATGCCGAACCGCGACCAGCCCCACCCGGAACGTGGGGCAGAGCTCTCCCCACACACGCATCAACGAGGTGCACATAAGTAAGCTGCATCCCAATCGAACGTTCCTGATGTTCGTTCGCCCGCTGTTGGCTTGCTTCCGCTCACGCACTGTCTGTTGTACTCCAGGAGCAGCGTTCAAGAGTCTTAAGCCAAAGCAAGCGCTCTTTCTCTCGACGTCATCAAGATTCCAAGCTATGGCAGCGTTCTCGCACCTGATCCGGTTCGAAGCCGATGATGGCAAGACTTATTACGGTGACTTGACAAAGGAGACGCCAACAAGAGAAATCCAAGGGAAGGAAGTCGAGGTGCTCGAGGGCGATGTGAAAAGCGGGTTCAGCAAGAAGGGCAGCAAAGCCAAGGTATCGAAGCTGTTATGTCCGCTGCCAACAACAAACATCATCCTTTGCGTGGGTTTGAACTATAGGCAACATGCTGAAGAGTGCAACGTCAGTTTCAATCCCTCGTCGTTTGAACTATGTGCTCACAACTGCAGCTCACGATCCCCTCCAATCCAGCCATCTTCATGAAGCCTAGCGATGCTCTAGCTGGACCTCTTGACGACATACCAATCCACAAGGACTGCCAAAGCAACCTAGACTACGAAGGAGAGCTTACCATCGTCATCGGCAAAGACTGCAAGAACGCCACCGCAGACAATTGGAAAGACTACATCCTCGGCTACACAGTCGGCAACGACGTCAGCGCACGAAACTTCCAGCTCCCTGCGTCCGTCTCTGGTGGTCAATTCGGCTATGCAAAATCCTTCGACAAGTTTGCGCCCATTGGGCCGTGCATCGCTAGCAAAGAGGTGGTTGGCGATCCGCAGAAGTTGAAGTACTGGACTAAGGTCAATGGAGAGAAGAGGCAGGAGACTGGGACGGATGATATGATCTTCACGATTGGCGAGATCATCCAGCATCTCAGCAGGGGTACGACGCTTAGGTCCGGCACTGCGATCTTGACTGGTACGCCGAGTGGAGTTGGACTGTTTATGGAGCCGAAAGGGTTCGTGAAGGATGGGGATGAAGTGGAGATCTATGTGGAGGGCATTGGAAGTATCATCAACAAGATGAAGTTTGAGTGAGGCGGGTGTGAACAACAAACGTGGCTACTGGTAAGTTTGCAGTAACCGTTGTTCTGGATAAGCTATTCTCATTGATGGATAGTAACTAATCCAAATATCAAGACGCATTTCACAACGCATTTGCAGACTCAACGTGGTGGTGGTAGTCGTCGCTGTCGTCGTCGTCGTCGTAACGTTCTTTCCTTGTTTGAGAGCCGCCTGCCATTCTCACCTTGCCGTATGGATAACCAAAGTAGCAGGACCTGTCACGCAAGGGAGCCACATCAGGACCCACTTACCATCCTCACGAACAGTGCATCTTCTCTGGGTAAACAAACGTCTCACAGCCGTGCACGCTTCGCACCGTCAACGCAACGTATCTTCTACATATTATTTCCGGCATCAACTACACTCGTTTCAACATTATTGTACATCTTGGTCTCACAGGACGACCTCTGACCTGAAGACAACATGACGTCCGAGCGGCGAAACTCAGATGATACCATCGCCTCCTACAAGCGGAAGAAGAAGCAAGACAAGCGACCCTCGCCTATGAGTCAAGAAGATGACGCGCAGTGCGACCACGATGAAAGTGCCACTGGCGCTGCGAGTAGCAACGACATACCCGACAATGTATCCAACGTAGAGACAGAAGACGATTCTGAAACCGCAATGCGCTGGAAGGAGCTCAAAGCTGCCAAAACCGAAGAGGAAGAAATCAAACGCTACGAGAGGCTACAGACAAAACCACGTACAAAAGCCGAAGCTGAACATGACGAAGACCTGCATAAGCTCCGCTTGAGAAGGATGCGAGAGCGAGAGGCCACTCACGAGGCTGAGAGAAAAGCCACACAAGCACTGGAGGCAGTGCAAGAACCCGTATCGGCAATGGACTGGAAGGCACAGCAAGTAGCAAGGGTGCAGAGAATGCGCAACGGCAAGAGTAAGGCGCCTAAACCAGAACAAGCGTCAGCATTAGTCCCAACAACATCAAGTTCCGGCCACCGAACATCAAGTGCTCATGAGGAGCGGCATGGAATACCTTGCAACTTTGGGCACGAGATTGCATTCTTCGCTTCGAACCGTCCCAGTCTCAAACGAACAGATACAGAAGTCCTTACAGATACCAGTCGAGGGCCATCGCCTCCACCTAACGCCCATTGGCGAGATCCGAGGAGGCAGCGAGGTCGACTTAATGTTGATTACAGTGGCATGGACACAGAGTTCATACTTGGAGGCGAGTTCGTTGACGACGTGAATACGATGCTCGACTTCATCAACGGCTGGCCTGAGGCTCAATTCGAAGACATCAGGTATGCTTTCGAGAGAGATCCTGACAATCGCGGCCGGAGGATAGAGTTTATCGATCTGGGCGACAAGAAGTGGGGAGTTCGGATTCTGAACCCGCTCAGAAAGGATTCAGGCACATCATATGCTCCCGCCGATATATATACACGCGACGATTTGCCAAACGCCTGTCAAGAGCATGGTTGTGACGAAGGATGTCCGCGCAAGATCTCCATGGAGGAAAGAATAACCAACCTGAAGAAGTTTCGAGAAGAACAAGACAGGAACACGTTTCTAGGCAACATGGCTGGAGCCGGCTACTTGGCAGGTCCATCGCTGGGAGTACTTCCTGATGTAATTGATATGCCACCTCCACCTATACCACCCCGCTCAGACAAGAGAAAGGTGTCTCATGGACTTCCTGAACTTAGCACCATACCGCTGCAACCTCTTTCTACGCTTGAGTCTCTTCCGTCTGTATCGGAGCCGCCCGGGAGCCCGCGCCCAGAGAACTGTAGCCTACCTGACGAGGACTTTACTGCAGAACATATCGAGGATTTGGAACGTACGGACGCAAGTTTGGAGACCCAGATCAAGCAGATCAAGCAGATCAAGACGACGATGGCTCAGATCAAGGGCCACCTCCAGAGCAAGCAAGGAGCAGAACCCATTGGACAAGATATAGTCAAAGAGTGGCTGCAGAATGCGAACATCGTGTCCGAATCCTCCGAAGGTACGAGGAAGAAATCCGCTGCCGACAAGCCGGACCTCGGGCCTATTGGAGGAAAGCTGGTGCACAACGAGAAAATACCCACCGGTCCCTACTCCATACGCGCTGAGGAGCACAGGTTGACCGCGGTTTTTGATAAGCGAAGCACAGTCCCAGAGCTTATGGATGAGAACATTCGCAACAGACCTCGGAAAGGGTACTACACGGCGAGAGTGCCACCCAAAAGCGACTCGGATAGCAAATGCAATGATACGCCACTACCTAGGAAGGCAGGGCGGCCTTCGAGCAACCATGTCGATCAATCGTCTTCGACAAATACTCAGCGAGTTAAGTTCCGTCCGCAATACGAAAAGAACCCTGATGCGTACTAGAAGTTACAAGCAGCAAGGATAGAGCCAGCCTCCCGAGAGCGAGACCAAAGGAAGACACAGAGCATACCGGCCGGTGTACCAAACGAGGGTGTGATGGCTCACCTCGTACAAGGTTATTCCATTTCGTCACCTTCGCAAGAGCAGACTGGTAAGGAGGGCATCCTTGGGGGGGACTTCGCTTCACAGTTTCAAGATCCGATTGGGGCGCGCAGACTGTCAGAAAGCATTTCGGTGTTCGAGGATACTCCAATGGGCGAGGATGTACCAATGCTGCCACAGGACATCCAGTCGCAGCCCCCTTCTGAAGAACCGGCTGTGGCTCCCTCTACTACGTCGCCAGATTCTCGCCCACCGTCACGGCCATCACCACGACGACTCGACGAGATAGATGATGATACTTCTGTTTGGGATCCCGACGAGCAGCCTGTGGCTCCTGCAGCTCCTCGCATACGCGATGATATGGAGATTGATAGCGATATTCCGGTTTGGGATCCAGTCGAGGAGCCTGCGCGGAGAAGTAGCGATTCACGTCAAGAGTCTACACTGGAAGAGAGGCGTACTTATCAGCGTCATATCAAGAACATGCTACGTAAAACCAACGCGCGTAGAAAAAGGCGTGCGGCTCCGACCTCTCCGCTGCCGACTTCTTCGCCCGCCACTGACAGTCCGGAAGCGGGGTCTGAGGTTGAGGATACGTCTATACCTACGCTTACAAACGTTGTGCCCGCTCCAAGCCGCATAGAGGCAGGATCTGAGGGCGGTAGTAGTGGACCGGTGGATTTAAAGGGTAAACGAAGGGCGAAGGCGAAGGAGAGCGGTGATGACAAGAAGCTCTTAGAAGAGCTGTTCAGGAAATTGTGAAACAACACTAAAGGCGAGAAAATTAAGGTATCTATACGTTACTGACAAGGACAACAAGTAATCAAAGATATCTCAATCATCCACAGCACTGCAAGCTCACCTCACCCATGCTTCTCCTTCCTCTTCTTACTACCATGATCCTTGCTCTTCTTCTTCTTCTTTTCCTTCTTACCTACATCATATCACTTCTCATTCAATGTACTTGCAAGCTCAACCACAAAATCCGGCGCCCTCGGCAGCCTTTCATACATAAGCACAACAGCATTCATTTCGCCCTTACCCTTGTGCTTTTGGATCCAATTCAGGAATCGTGGGAGATGGAGAAGGTCCTGCAGCGCAGCATGGCGGTAGCAGTTGGCCAAGGGGCAACAAGACTTCGCGGGCGTCAATTCTAGCCTGTGATCGGGCCATTCGTTGCTGATACCTAACGCGATGTGTCGACATTCTCGTTGAAGGGTAGTCGCCGCGCGAGGCATGTTGGGGAGAGGATCAATACTGAAGGAGTTATGTTGTGCTCGGTTATCGAAAGTTTGTGTAAGTGAGACGGTGTGTGACTGTCTTGCCTTCACACGCAACTTTGGATCTTTATTGAAAGTCATGTCTTTGAACTCCAGCGTAAGCATTGTCTTTTGGGGTCAATGGGTACGAACAGATTGTTGAGAGCGTTAACCTATTTAGCGTCAGCTTCAAACTAGTCACTTCATTTGCCTCTACTCAAGTCAAGCGGATATTTCTTTCTAGTCCTCGAGTAGACGCCGCAACATACCGATCTCTCCCAAGCTGTCCGCTACTGAGAGCCTCAGCCACCTGACATAAGCTGACCTTCTGGCCAAAGGCGTGGTTGTTACTAGAACAACGTGGCCCAGACTTTCGTACTGAATGATGTCCAAACCTTCGCCCTTCCACCATGCATCGATGTCTGATCTATGCACCGGGTCCGGGGGCTGCGCAAACAGCATGATGTTTTCGATGCTTCTAATCGTGTCTTGGTTTAGTATCTGCCCAAGGATCAGAAGGCGGTAGTGCTCTAGTGTGGGTGCGTCCGGAGCCCAGGCCATGTCCGTGCCGAGAAAGCGCGAAGATAGGCTGGTGATGTCTGACTTGAGGTTGATGCATATTTCGAATCACTTTGGCTGCTTTCCAGAACCGGGAAAGTTCACTGAAACGGGGACTCAAGTACCGTTGATGGTTTTCGCAGCTTCGTAGCGGACTTTGCGGCTAACAACGAAAAGCACTAGCCATGGCCGTGAGACGAAGATTTCGATAGAGGCTTCGTATGGGTTGCAGTTATAAAATTCGATGATCCGTCCGTTGATACCGTAGGGTCGACGAAGCTGCTGCTTTGCTTGAGCGCAAAGCTCCATATCCTTGCACGTAGTTCAGCGGGAAGGCGGAGGAAGAGCTGGAAATGGTTGCGGTGAAGCGGCCTTCGTACACCGAAGTAGGAGGAGCCGTTTTGTGACGGTTGTAAGGTGGCATTGGCTAGAATCGCGGGGTCTGGCAAGAAAGGTTTAGCGAAGAAAAGACCCCGGGTCGAGGTGAATGCAAACTCCATACCACGTTAGTATCCTTAGATCCAGTAGCGACTGTTTATTGACACATCGAAGCCGGCCTCGTGTATCATCTGGACTTTGTCGTTCACATGTTTTGGGAGAGCATGCTTCGGTGAATCAGGGCCTTCGGTATCGAACTAAACGCCTCGCTGTTATCGCCTCTCAAACTTGAGTCAATACCATCTCTCGCCACGCATTCAGCATCTCCACCTTCGGCTCATTTGTTTCCCCTCTTTCAGTCCACCTGTCATGCACTCCATCCCTTACTGCTACTTCCAGCCAATGCGAATAGTCCCTAGATGCACGGTCCGAATCTCCTCTCGTTATAACGATGACACGTTTTAGCCTTCCAGGACAGAAGATCTCCAGGCCTTCTCCTTTCCACCATGCATCAATCTCCAGCCTATGTTGAGATGCTGGCGGTTGAGCGTTGATCACAATACGCTCTATCCTCTGGAGGGTGTCAGAGTCAAGCAACCGAGCGAGCGTGTCCAGCCGATATTGTTGTGGGTTGGGGCGGACTGTCAGCGAGCCTTGTGGTGGTGGCGTGAGAAAGCGAGTGCGGAGGTTGATTGTGTCCAATTTGAAGTTGATGCATATCTCGAATTGAGTGATGTGAGCTGGCTCCGTGGGACTATTGTAGCGTCCGTTGACCGGTACCCATGTGCAGCCCATCAGTTTTGCGGCCTCGTAACGTGCTTCACGGCACACAGCGAAGAGCGTTGGGTACGGGCGCGAGAGGGTGACGGAGATCGAATCAGTTGCTGGGTCATGATTGTGAAATTCGATTCGTCGGTCGAAATGGCAACGGTCGCCATAGTGCTTGCTGACATGCTCTTGTCGAATGGAAAGACTCCAGATGGTGGCGCGCAGCTCTGCAGAAAGATGAGTGAAGTATTCGAAGTGGGTCGACATGGCTCTTGAGCAGTCAGATAATCAAAACGGGCGTCAAGTCCAAGGGTTTTGTGTGTGAAAAGTCAGGGCAGAGTAACCCTTGGAACCAAATGCCATTGCAAAGGCGGCCCTCACGACACGTGACTGCATGCTTGCCTGATACTTCATGACGACCGACTACCGGCCTCTGAATATACGCCGATCTTCGCAGATTGAGGAAAGTAGTGCGCACCACTTCGACGTCGTTATAAGTTTTCGAAGCAACTGCGGCCATGGTATTCATGCCCGTATCATGAGTACAGATGACGTCCGCCATGTTGTTTCATGCTGTTTCGAATCGAGAGTTCCTCCTGGCTTCCCCTTGTTTGCTTGAATGCAAGCTCGTCTACATGTTCCAAGATGACTGCCATGCCGTGGATGATGCACGCTGGAAGTTTGGGGGTCAAAGCTGCCCAAGTGAACCGGTGAAGGACTTGACTGGTGCTTTGGCGTCACGTCTGCATCTAGACCGCTTCAAGCCTGAAGCTGAGGATGCGGCTTTGTGATCCAAGAGTATCAAGTAGTAATCCAGCGCAGATGGAGGGAGGGGTGCTACCATAAGAAGTGCAGCTCATCTCGCTTCAGCAACTGGTCGGTGTTTTGGGCGCCGAACAACTGGAACCGGAAACAGCCCGCGACCATTCCACACCACCTGCCTCGAGGTACAACCCCACCTGTGCATGCGCACCCATACCCCCTAATAAAGGTACTTTGACTGCCAGTCACGCACACGACCTTGCGCTCGCATTGTTCTCGCAGCACCATGTCGTCGTACCTGAACAACCTCCTCACCAATACTACGTCACGGTACACCAATCTGCGCCGGCAGCTGCTCTCAGACGAGAACGACGGAGACACAGAAGAAGACTCACACATTTCTCGAGTCCTTCGCGCATACTACACCGAAAAAGGCCGCCCTTTTCCACAATGGCTTCCGCCCGACCCACGAGCCCCGCAACCGCAGCCGGCGCAGCAATTTGTGTCCTCAGCAGGGCGACAGCAAGGCCAGGGTGCGCCTATGGGACGTGGAGGAGGAGGGCTGAGTGATCTATGGGACAACCCGGCGCCACAGCAACAAGCACAGGAGCCTCTATCATTGCGCCGTGGCGCAGGAGCAAGAGGAGGGGGGGCACGACCGCTTCAGAGTCACATGAGCAGCTCCTTGACACCAGAACCACAAAGCCAGGGCAGGCCGTTGCCGAGCCAAAGAGTTGGAAGCTACCAGAGCTCCCTTGCAACTGGAGGACGTCCAGGAGCCGACCCTTCCCCACCACCGAGCGCAGGATCAGGCACAACAGCGCAGGAGAGGCTCAAGCAGCGTCTATGGGGATCAGGAAGGTCAACAAGTCCGGCGCAAAGCACATCATCAGTGGGTTCAGGGCCGCCGGCAAGAGGCTCGTACGAACGACCTGCACCAGGTGGCCGACCACCATACCCCGATGAGCGTACCTACTCAGCTGGCAGTAGCGGTGGAGGAAGACAGCAGCCCTCATCCGGAGACTACGACCCGTATGCAGCTGGCAACTATGGCGGCGGCGCACCACAGCGTGCTCCGCCAGGTGGAGGACGTGTCGGTCTGCCGAGCGGACCGCGCTTGCGTTGAGCTTCTTTGTACATATAGCAATGGCGCATTTGGAGTTGCAGTGCATTCACGGGTTTGCATGTTGCATAGTCTGCGACTCGGCAGCTCGGCGTTCGGGGTCACTTGTGGAGTATACAGTTGCTTTGTGCCGGCTATACGTAGCAGACAATATACGACATGCGCAGATTCGCAAGCTTTGCCAGTAACAGAATGCTCGAAGCATCTATGCAAAACCGTGGATCTCGATTGAACGCGTTCCCCGCGTGCGCCACACAAAGCAACGTCATGTCCCGCTGACTAGCTGCGGCGCTCACTGCTACCTGGAGCAGCAGCCACTTGCATGTGCTCTTGCCCCATGAGCTGGGCCACAACTAGAAAGACTACAGTTTATCCTCTGGACGCTTCTCTGAACTCTTCCAACGTTACACACGCACATATCAGCGGTCGTTGCAGCCTACTTGCCCCGCTATGGCCTCTCCGGCACCACCGAGCCCGCCATCGCCGTCCGCCTCGTTCTATGATGTGAGCGACGATGACGAGGGCGAGTACAACACGATAAGACACACTGAAAGCGGGAAAGGCGTGAAGTTGCTGTACACTAAGAGCAAAGTGCGTCCCCTACATTCATCGTGACCAGTGGCGTGAGGACTGACCCAGCATGCGCAGGTATACGTTCACCCCTCACCCTCCGCCAAAGACAACATCCCAGGCTTCATAGCACTGGTACAGCAGAAGTCGCCCAAGAACACAAACGATGCGCGCCCAACCTCGTCTTCGTCTTCGAAGAGCGTCCGCTCATCCTCCCTACTCCTTGCCTGGATGCCCGAGTCTGGCTTGGGTGATGCCTACGATACATACGTGAAGGTCGACCTTTCAGATTCGGCCTCTCCTCCAAAGACCTCATACCTCGTTCCTCCGCCGCCGACTACCTCCTCGCACACGGTTACACCCGGCTACGCCTTCGCTATACCTGTAAGCGAGATATACTCCCTGTTGGTACGACCGCCGAGTTTAGGATGGTGGTTTGGGAGCGTCGTGGTGAACACACGCGCAGGTGACAGCTTTCCTGCGCTCTTCTTCCACGACAGCGAGTGCCAGTCTACCATCTTGCAGAGGAAGAAGCTGGCAAGGGAAACCTTCGATCCATTCGGCGATGGCGGTGGCATGTTCTGGGGCGGCGACGAGGTCCTGCGCTGGTTGAAGCGATACGTGACAATCGAACGATCGGGTGCGGACCCCAGCATATACCTCATCGAACCCACTGAAGACGACAAGCAATCCTTTGGCAAGAACGCGCCAGGATCGGCAAAGAAAGACAAGGACGGAGAGGCTTCTTCGGCACAGACACCAGGAAAGTGGGACGGAGGCATGGATCCAGTCACAAAAGCATTGAAGGAGGCAAGATGGAATATCCTCGAGAAGCTCAGTCAGGTTACAACCTTCACAAGGAAGACTGCACAGGCCGTAGCCGACAATCCCAAGATACCCCCTCAGGTTAGGCGCCTGATTCAGAACCCAGAAGTGCAGACCCTACAGGACGAGTTCGATAGCGCGCGCATATATCTCGCTAGGTGGGCCATGGGCATTGCTGAGCAAAGCGAGCGGGAACGAAACCAGAGGATCTGGACGGCGAAAGATGTTCTGGCTATGGAGCAAGGCGATCTTGGTGACTTCGAGATCCTCGATATGGACAGGATATCTATGGCAGATCGAAGGAAGCCCGTCACTTTGGAGGAGTGGAAGGGATTCTTCGATAACACTGGTCGACTGCAACTGACGCCAGACGAGGTCAAAGAGCGGATATTCCACGGTGGCCTGCATCCAGATGATGGCGTACGAAAAGAGGCATGGCTCTTCCTCCTTGGTGTCTATGATTGGGACAGCAATGAGGAAGAGCGCCGTGCGAACCTCAACAGTCGTCGGGACGAGTACATCCGCCTGAAGGGTGCATGGTGGGAGCGAATGGTCGAGGGCCACCAGACCGAAGAGCAGGCGGAGTGGTGGAAGGAGCAGAAGAACCGCATAGGTATGTGCCCACTGAACAACATGAGGTTCACGCAGGACTTGGCTAACTTGTCCCCATTCGACGGGGTGCGTTCAACAGAGAAGGATGTGCACCGAACAGATCGTACCATTCCAATATTCGAAGGAGAGGATATCCCTCATCCTGATCCCGAGTCGCCTTTTGCGGACGTTGGCACCAATGTGCATCTGGAGCAGATGAAGGATATGCTGTTGACCTACAATGAGTACAACAAGGATCTCGGCTACGTTCAGGGCATGAGTGATTTGCTTGCACCCATCTACGCAGTCATGCAAGACGACGCGATCGCATTCTGGGGCTTTGTTGGATTCATGGACCGAATGGTACGGTTACAGTTGATAAATCTCTTCCGAGCTAACGATTTTCCAGGAGCGAAACTTCCTTCGTGATCAGTCCGGCATGCGCAAGCAGCTTATGACACTGGACCACCTCGTACAGCTTATGGACCCTAAGCTCTACATTCACCTACAGTCCGCCGACTCGACGAACTTCTTTTTCTTCTTCCGCATGCTACTTGTCTGGTACAAGCGCGAGTTCGAGTGGGCGGACGTTCTGCGGCTGTGGGAATCACTATGGACCGACTACTACAGCAGCAACTTCCACATCTTCATTGCACTTGCGATCCTCGAGAAGCACCGAGACGTTATACTGGCGCATCTGAAGCATTTCGATGAGGTGTTGAAGTATGGTAAGTCACATCACTTTGCGTCGGCGCGTACTACCATCGCTGACATCACAACAGTAAACGAGCTGTCCGGTACCATGGATCTGGAATCGACGCTCGTACGTGCCGAGTCGCTGTTCCGCAGATTCCAAAGAACCGTTGAAACGGTCGACAAAAAAGGCAACTTCCCTTCTGCCCCGCAGGCAAGGCAGAGGAAACAGGCTGCTGTGCTAGCTTCAGGGCCTGACTCCATGCCCAAGACGTCAGACTCGAGTGCGCAGGCTTCATCGTCTGGCATTGACAAGGGCAAGCAAGCAAGTACTGAAGAGGGTGAAGAAGCAAAGGTCATTAGCCCTGAGCTTCGAGGGCTACTAAGCAGGAAGGTGGAGATCCTAAATAAAGAAGAGGTCGTCAAGAAGGGTGGTGGTGTTGGGTCATAAGGCCTATCGTCGATGACGATATTTACTTTGCATCAGATTGTCTGGCGTCGGGGTTGGTTGTGAATAGTGACACAGCCCAGGGGTTCGGGCATTGGTCACGCAAATGCTGCGTTGGTACTAACGACTGGTTTGCTGCTTCTCTCTTCTCGAATTTGACATCAACAGCAACGACAGCTTGTTCACATGCTTCTCTTCACGATCAAGCTTTCAACGACACCACGATGACAATCGACAGATTTGACACGCTGCTGCTAACCAGCGATCATATTCTTCCTGTCGTAGTGTGGTTTGGAGCGCGTCACATCAGACATTTCCCCTTCACATTCGCTTTGCCAGCATAACAGGTGTCTTTAATGACCCACCCATCACCCTCCTTCACCTCGCAAAACGGTGCCCCATGGAATACATCGAGCGCTTGCTCGACCACCTTTCTAAGTCGCCATCGCATAACCTACCGCAACACGCAGCTTCTCAACCGTGGACGCAGCGCTTTCGAAAGTCCCAGCCGACCAGCAAGCACCCATCTGGCCAGATCCCTTCACTGCCTGTCGCCACGCCACTTAAGACACACGGAGACGATCAACAGCCACATCATTACCGCAGGCGCAGGCACCGCCGCCGCCGTCACAACATGTCGCCCTTCTCAGGCCCATGGTCGCGCGATCTGGCCACCCTCGAAAAGACCATCTCCTCGATCCCTTCAGATCACAAGTCCTCATTCACGACCGCGTCCAACGATACACTCGATATCTTCTGTGATCCCGAGGCTCTGCACGTCTGGGAGACGGACAGCGACATCGATAGCATGCTACAGTTGACCAGTGTTCTTGCGAAGCTGTGCGATCTGGGCGTTCGAGAGTCCAAAGATGTGGTCAAGGGTATGAAGGGTGGTATGGTCATCATTGCAGAAGAGGACAGGTGCAGGGGCCACTTCTTAAGATTGTGCGAATTGGTCGAGTATCTTACAGGTGAGACGGGGAGCAAACACCTCGAGGGAACAGTGCGCTCTTATGCAAATGCGAGTATTGTCGTGGTACGAGGATGGAATTACCACCCCCGTACTAGCGGCGCTGGCAATCATGACGTGGAGAGAGTAGTCAAGCGCGTGAGTACAGCGCTCGAACGTGCACTCTCTGCTTCGAAAATGCACAAGATCGCCTGGCATCATGGCGCGGTTGTTGGACCGTTGCTGTCTTTCATCAACACCACGACGTCCTCTTTACGCAACACCCTCGCGGGAGTAAGCGTTACGAACTCACTGCATCTCGTAAGCAGCGTCAAGCCGTCCATGGCAGGCAGGATCAATACACTTCCGGACCTGGAACGGCTACAATCGTATGCTAAGAAGCTGGGCATCCCAGTCCTCTTCCTCGACAGCAGCACTCAAAACATCACAAGCCCGTACCTAGGAACGTACATGTACTTCTTCGCGTACTACATTCACACGTTCCTCCCGTTCTCGCTCACGCGACCTCATCTTCACGCGGCGCAAGACGAGCTCGTCACCTTTGCATTTCAACTTCGGGGTGCGAGCGAGAAGCGCTATGGCTCGGACGTGGTAAGTGTCGTGAGGAAGCACCTTGATCCTCGCAGTAAGGCATGGGCACGTCGATGTATCGACCTGCGGAGCTACGAGAAAGGTAAGTGCCAGGCTGCGGGCAAGGAGAGCGAAGTGCATCATGCCGTCCAGCTCGCGGACGCACCTTTCGCGCTGTCCAAAGCTCTGTATTCCGCAGGGAGTGATAGCGTCGCAGCGTTCGCGCGTCTTGCCGTTGGTCCAGCGAGTCCCGCTGCGGCAGCGAAAGAAGTGTTTATTGCAGCGCCTGTTGATATCTCCTTCAGTACGTCTCGCCTACGCCCGAGCCATCCGAGCAACTTCCACGTCTTGCTGCCGAAAGAAGCTGTCACCGAGGAGAACATCACAAACCGCATCCAAGGCCTAATGATGGGCGTTCTCGAGCGTGTACGTCAAGAGCATGGCAACCCTACCTTCGGCTCGAGGGAGCGGCAAATGTGGAAAGATGTAGTCAAAGCATGTTCCTGGGCGCTGAAGGGCTGCGAAGGCAAGATGCCAGACAAGATCGCTGAGAAAGTCAAGTTTGTGCAGGAGAAACTCACAAAGGGTACGTGGGGCTACGTTGTCGGCGCACCAGGCGATGAGCCCAAGGCAGTACCCGCGGGTGACGGCTCAGGGGCGGCGAGTGCGAATGCTGCGGCCCATGCAGCTCTCTCGGGCACTGCGGCTGGAGTGCAGAACGCGTATGCGCAGGGTTATGGACAGCAGCAGATGTCGATGGCGAGTGGGCATGGACAACAGGGCATGATGAATTTGCCTGCTGCCTCGCCGGCGACCTACTACCCTCAGCAGCCGCAGCCATACGCGCAAGGCCAGCAGGGTGGGCAGATGAATATGGCTCCAGCTGTGTATCACCAGGGGCAGACAAATGGGTACGGGCAGGGTCAGGCGAATGGGTATGGACACAGTGTGCCGCCGCCTGAGTATGGGTATGCGCAGCAGATGCCGGGTGGGTATCCACCGACACCGCAGGAAGGGCATGCGCAGATGCGAAGGCAGTGGTGATAGGCGGTGGGCCCTAGGGTTTGCTTGCGTGTTTCTTCGATACGTGAGTCTTTCTGTGTCCGCCAAGGCGTGGGAGAAGATGTAGGCGTTCTGGGTCTCGAATACATGGATACTATCTTCTTGCTAGGATTGATACAGCTTTTTTTTTCTCCAGTTCTTGCAATGTTATTTTGTAAGGTGATGGAAAGAGCTGCTTGGGCGTCTCTGATATCGGCGGCGACCATACGTGTGCCCTTCGTCGTCCACCAAGGCATAGAGCAATTAACGTGTGGAAAATTTCAAACACACAAGCACTGCTTCTCCTCGCGACCACTGTAGCCCTTTCCAATTGCTAGAAGTTGTACTGTGGTGTTGTGAAAAGAGCTTCGAGAGTGGTAGCAGCGACGATGACGTTGCTGCCTCGAGCCCTTGCAGCCCGCCTTCATGAACATTTACGCGACGCGTCTGCTTCCCTCCACCGCTTTGCACAATGCGCTTCAAGGCCCAAATACAGAATATCTCCACTTTCACAAGTATGTTCAGATATCGTCTAGACATCTCACGGTTCGCCAACCTTCGACAGAGCTCACCGCATCCCTCAACTCTCTCGGTCCGCTCGCATGGGTGAAGCTCAGCGAGGAGCAGGTATGCTTCACCATCATACCTGAGCAGGGCACACAGGTCTGGGCGTGAGTTGCTGCGTCTTCTCATGTGTCTACAGCCTTTCTGACTCGACGCAGTGTTCTCTCCATTGTAAGCGCACCCTTTCAGTACCTCGCCATATCCTCTAACACGCCACTCAGGACGCCATCTTTGAGACAATCTCCGTGCAGTCTGCTGCCAACAATGTCATCAACCTCGAGGTGCCGCTCATCTCGCTCAACCGAGCCCTCAAGTCCGCCTTGAACGCCACGTCCGCCCAAATACGGCTCACGAAGAAGGACAACATGCCCATGCTTGCCCTCACCATCGTCACAACCACTTCCTCGAATTCGTACAGCGCCTTCCCCACAGCAGGCCCGAACAACGATGACGGCTTCGACGCACCGTTCGACAACGCCTTCGGAGGCAATCGCGAGACGGTCGTTACGCAAGAGATTCCGGTGCGAGTGCTCCCCCCAGATACAGTAGCCAACCTACACGAGCCGCAGACCAGAGAGCCAGATGTACACATCATACTGCCGCCTTTGATGCAGCTGAAAAGCATCAGCGACAGGTTCACAAAGCTAGCGCTTGCGGATACAAAATCAGGACCAGGCACAACAGCGTCACGGACACGGCTCGAGGTTGCGGCGAACATGCACGGCTGTCTCAAGATGAGCATCAAGACAGACGCAATGAGTATATCATCTGTCTGGACTGATCTCAGCAACCCGGAACTGGATCCTGCACAGATTTCAGGAGGGGTGACCGGGCTGGCTGATCACCCAAGTACGCGCATGAAGCAACTGGGCTCTGCGGACGGACGTAGCGAAGAGGGTTGGGCGACGGTCAGGATAGATGGGCGCGATTGGGGCAAGGTGATGAGCGTGGGGAGGCTTGGTGGGAGAGTTATTGCCTGTGAGTATCTCGCTACATGGCATCCGACCTGGTATCTCTGAAGGTTTGCTAACTGTTGACAGGCTTCTGCCACGAGCACGCTCTGATTCTTTACGTCTATCTGCCTAACGACAACGGTGACGATGAGTCTGTCTTGACTGTACGAGTCCGCTTCCTGACCCTTGACACTCGAGCAGAGGCTGACATATCCACAGTACTACGTCAGTTCGTACAGCGCATGATGCAGGACCAGGTCGTCTACCGACTTTCTGCGAATCACGAATAGATCCCAATCTACACGATACAGCGCACCAATCCATGCTGGGCAATAACGCAAAGTCCCATAAGATCCGATGCGCAAGTGAAGAGGATGACCCTCCATACGTTCGGCAACTCTATTTCCACAGTCAAAATGCCGCCTGATGGATGTGCTAGCTAGCCGTGGATGCCTTGAGCCATTCAGGCACCAGGCGAGGTCCAAGCGCCACATCCCGTCTCATTGTCACCCCTAAATGCTCGACGTCGCACTGCAAAATGAATCATTGACAACCATTGTTACGATTAGCATGGATGCAATGGTCTCGGACTCTGTTACTGCGTCACCAGGTGAGAAGCAGCGTTCTATCAAAAACCCCTCGAGAGGGTCAAGTCCGGAGACAACACCGCAAGGTCACGATGCATGCTTTATTACAAACCTATCAACCGAGCTCGTCTGCCTTATCATCGACTTTGTTCCTCCTGAATCACATCTCGACTTTGCATGCACATGCAAGAGAATTGCGGACTGCTCCAGCAAAGTCCTGAAGCGTCACCAGGAAGCTTACAGCAAATACCGGGTCGCATCAGACATTTCGCCAATTACCATCCCAACATTACTACGCAGCGCATTTGGACGCGCTGACCCACTCCTTGCCTGGCATGTTCGATCGATCGAGATCTGGTATGATCGTACAAGCTGGCTAGACTGGAAACCGCTCAACTTCGACCAGTGTTTGCACGAAGAAGATATGGACGTTGACAGCACGTTGTGGAAGTGGCAGGATGATGAGCTGCTGGAGTATCTCGAAGCCATTGAAGGCCAGTTCGATGCGATGCTCGAAAGTGGCGATGAGGACATACGTCTGGAGGCCCGCGAGCAGTTTGAAGACGGTCTTGACGGCATACTGAAGATGCTTCTCATCGCATATTGCCCAAGATTACAGGACGTCAAGTTTATCACACACGAACATCGGGAAAAGTCGACGCTGGGCTGGCTCAAGAGGGTGATTCAAGGCAGCATCTTGTACGGCAGCCACTGGCCTCCTGGTCTTTGCAGTATTCAGGAGGTCGCCGTTGGCGTCGAATCAGAGACATGGATGACGACACGGCACACACAGAACGAGGACGGTCATCTGGATGGGTCGAACAAGACCATGGAAATCTTCTCTACTTTACTTCGCCTACCTCGCCTTAACTCAATATACTACAACGACCTCAGGCGTTCGGGCTGGGACGACTCAACAGATTATGAGTCTCGCACGCTGATGCCCTTGCATTCCTCCACAGTCAAGCACATCTTCCTCGACGACTGCAGCGACATGCCGCATTCTTTCCGCTTCGCGCTCCCCCGAGCACCGTCCGCACTTGAGACCTTCACACTCCGTGCCGGGGACAGCGGCGACCGGATGGATGACGCCGACGCCCTGGTCCAGGGTCTCTGCTCCGAGCAATCTGCATCTCTACACACCCTAATGTTCTACGGCCCGTACAGCTATGCCCAGATCCACGGGTACAGATGCTCTGTCTACCGCAACGAGGAGCTCGAAAAAGCAGACAATCTCAAGACCGTGGCTATGGACATCTCTGATGTAGAGTTGGATTGCTTGTATTCCACGAGCGGAGATGTTTACAAGATGACCTATAAAGAACAGCGCAAATACTTCGTCAAGTGGTTCACGGAGACGGCGTTTCCGGGGTCTATTGAGAGACTGGTATTCTGGGGAAAGGCTGAGGAGTACTTCCCCACACAGTGTAAGGGCAGTTTTCTCGACTGGTTGGAAGATGCACTCATCGCTGTCATACAGAGTCATCGCCGGATGGAAGGGTGGGATGAAGATGACGAAGAGTACGATAAGCTTTCTGATGCTTATGAGTCCTTTTACGGTAACCTCAAAGCCGTCTATCTCGAGGATGTTGAGACAGAGTACAAGAATACGAGGCATAAGAATGGCGAACCAAGAGCCGACAAGATCTACTTCCAGCGACTCGTTGAGGTTGGCAGGGAAGCTGGGATTGATATACATACCCTCACCAATCGCGTGCCGGCCAAACATACGCATAGCTTCCCGACTGCGCCGGACAAGTACAATTTGAGATCTGGGTCGTGGTGGGAGCGGAAAGGTGAGATTGAGGATTGGGTATTCAATGTGTATAAGGGGAGGAGGGTGCCACCGGGTTGTAGGAAGTGTGGGAAGTGTGAGACGTGTTTGGGGCAGTATAGTGAGGAGTTATGGAGGTCTTTAGATAGATGAGAAGATGGGGACGTTTGCAGATACGTGCCTTGCAGGTGACTGTATATAAAGCTTGTGCTTGACCTTGACACAGGCCTCCATTGTCACCTGCATCACAACCTTCAAATTCTGTTCTTCAAAATCAATTCGTCCGATGATCATCTGCTGGCTCCGCTTTCTCCAAAACACAAGCTCCTAATCTCATGCTCTGTGTGCGGCTGAAAGACGAATCCCATGACGCGAACGAACTTTCTCCTGCATCACCATCACCATCGCTCTTATTAAGAGCAAGAATCCAAAGTCAGATCAAAGACGGTGAATGCTGTCTTCTCCCACTCGCAAACCCTCGTAATGAGGACATATGTTCTGATGAGACTGTGCTTTACATATCCTGCAATTGTTTATGTCAATGGGGGAGAACGTGAGCAGAATTGTGATGTTTTCGACAGCTATCTATGTGGTGTTATCTACCTGGAGACGAGCTGTGGGGCGCTAGTTGGAAAGAGGAAGGCGCGGAGCCCATGAGAGGCAGGAGGCAGTGAGGGTGCCTGGCTGACAGGTTACAACTCCAAGACGATGAGGCCATGGGTTGTGTGACGTGGTGCGGTACTTTGAAAGCAGCCCTTGCTTCTAAGAAAGGGTTGTCTGGTGATTATATCTTGTTGAGATGTGCATCGCCATACATCTAACGTATGCTGTTCGCAGTAGCAAGAGTGTTGCATCACTGAGGCAACTACGGAAGTGCAGTATAGAGTCTGCTCTCACTCAACACATGCTCTTTTTCACTTACCTTACCGCCTCTAATTCAATTGTCGAAAACTGCTTGGGACAAGAAGCGAGCGTCGGCCGCTGCTTCCAAAGCCAACGGGGACAAGGCCATGAGATCGCTTGAGCTGTCCGTCCACACAAAGATAAAACGAATTTTCTGTACAGCGACGGTCTGGAGAGGGTATCCCCCGACCGTTATGTATGTTCACCACACAAGCTTATTCTATTGATCTCTGAGAGGCTTCGATCTCGCGAGTAGGTGCCGTCGCTGCTCTCCCAAAAGATCACGTGGAAGCAGCGATGGTGTTTTCTGGTTTGCCTGCCGGAGAGCCACTGTTATGTCCAACTCTTGGGTTGTGTATCTGTAGTCAAGTCCGAACGACCAGAAGGCAAGAGCGGCTTAATTTATGTGCTGGCAGTCTTTCATACGTCGACCTACTTCTTTGCGATGGGTCTTTCTGCTGCTCTGTCAAAGCCAAAAACACCTGAAAATTTCCCTGGAGAAAGACATGGTCCAACGTAGTAAAACGCAATTATCTGTACGAGCGGAATTGTGCAGCGTTAGCTCGAAGGATGGATCTGAGCTGCAGTACTTAAGTCGCCAATCTGTTCTGTATGACTCCTCCCTCGCCATCAGGTTACCTTCAACAAGATTCTGAAATGGGTAGCCCCCATATCCATGTTCTGTGTTTGCCACCTCCAAAGCGTTTAACTGGCGTATGCATGCTCTGTCTCTGACTTTCTCGCTGAACACCGCTCTTGAACCTGCAGTCTCTGGTCTGGGTTACAGATATGTCCGATTCTCATTCTCGAAACAGGCGCCTTAATTCGATCATGATCTTTTCGAGCTTGCCTCTGTGCCTTTCTAGAGCTCTTACGTTTTATTCGACGTGATTGGGCGAGCGGCGCGAGGACCGATGAGAGGTGCCACAGCCTGCTCGTGCTTCGCTCCTTCCTATCAACACTGCACCTTCCGAGTCTAATATCGAGATCCAATATGATGCCTCTGATGTGCTCGCTGTCTTCCAAAATGCAGAGACACTTCACATGATGTCCTTGGCCCAGCTCATTAAAAACTGGGACAGCGCCCCAAACAGGAATATAAAGCTGGTAGCTTCTCCTCCTTCCTGGTTCTTTATCAAACTCTTCTGTCGGAAAGAAATCCCAAAATTGCCTCTCACTGCCTTATGTGCTGACTGCTTCACATTCAAAAGTATCATTGGATCCGCTCATGTCGTCTCGAGCGAAGCTCTGTCACAAGTCTAGGCATGGCGGATGATGTGAAGAAGTCGTTGTGCAGATGAGCTCCGATCCTGGATATGGCCGCAGTGAGGTTCGAAAGAAGCATTACAATACCTACTGCTAGCGCGTGTGCGCTTCAGTCTGGTACAAAAGTTTCTCCTTTGCATCCTGACAATAGCGGGAGGCCGAAAAGCGAAGGAAGCGTGATGATGTGTTAGTGTCTGACTGTGCTCTTCTATATTCGTGTACCTCCTGAGGTTTTGAAATCTACAAGCCAAGAATGCATGCGCTCTGCCTGCGACTTGCCTGACTCACCGAATGTTCCCATTCCTGCTCTTTCCTACCTTCTCGTGACAAGCAATAAAACGAAGTAGTGCGAGGAAAGCGGCATGTGCCTTGCCATATCCTGCCGTATAATTCAAAATGATTTCGCAGTAACCTCATGTCTTGCCTGTCGCTCTCCTCCGCCAGACTCGATCTTCTAGCCATGCACCCGGAGCTACTTGAGCCCTGCTTTGGTAGCCTTGGAGTGTGATCGTGTCCCGAGAACACACAAAAGCAGCTGTTCATGGCGAGCGCTGGTAAAGAAAGACGTGAAAACTAAGAAACGAGCGTTTGAACATCGAAATGTTCCGACGCAATGTAATGGGGTGCTATGATTCGTGAGGAGAAGATCTTGCCATGTTGACGATCTGGGATCCGTGACCGTAATCAAGATCATCAGAAGAACGACCTGCTATCGTTCCTCTAGGACTGCAGAGTTTTGGCGTCTCAAATAGCATCCCTGTGTGTCGCAATTGCTCACGCTGATGTGTCAGTAACTACTCGCTGTGTACACGAAATATTAGGTAGAATGTCGGCGGCTCAGCCGGTAGAGCTGCTTGAAGTGGTTGCGCGCCCAATTGCCAGGCTGCTATCTACCTGTTTGTTCTGTCAACCCATCAAAGGAGAAGTGCAATGACTGTCATATTATCTGCAAGACGTGGGATGGTTGCTGAACTGAAAGTAAGCTGGAGTCGTGGGCACAGAATTGGTCCTCGTGAGTATCGGAATAACCAGGTAGCGAAAACGACCATCAACCTTCCATTTTGGCGCCGGCTGAATGGCACTTCTAGCTGCACATCTGGAGTTTTCTAGAGGTAATTCTGGCGGTGAGTGTGGGGCCCCAAAAGCACCCCGGCTCAAATCCGTTGACCTCAATCTCGAACACACCAGATGCACAATCTGGCCTGCTGGGCGCTTCGTGCAAACACGGGTTCTCACACGTTCACGGCCGGAACACAGCTGCCAAGCACAGCACAAAAAAGACGCATTCTCCAAGCCGACCTCGGGAGGAATCGTTGCTGGGCGGAAACGCTTGGCACGTTACTGCAGGTGCAGTGCAGGCGTACAGTAACGTCTGGGCAGTAGCGGGTGAGCCCTCGTACTTCGTGTAGCGTATGGCGGGGAGATGCAGGACGCTCCTTACTCGAATGGAGAATCAATAATGGGTGACTTGGAGAGCAGGTGCGTTGCGCAAGGAATCATCTGCTTCGAGGTTCGTGTCCGTGGAGCTGCTTGGCAGGAAGGGTTGCTTATGACGGTTAGACAGCTGGCACATTGTACAGTGAGATGTCTGGGCAGAGTCGCCAGGGAGCAATTGGCAGCGATGGGCGCAAAGTTGCAGTCAAGGCTTTTGTTTTGCACAGGAAACATTGCGATGCACTGTGTGCAATATAGCGAAGGGCGAGAGAGTTGCGTGGCAGCAAACTCACAATCTCGAGTGCTGAATGGTAGATGAGGCCACGAATAAGCGTTTGCAGGGTGGCCTAGATGAGGCTAGTGCGCATTCCAGTAAAGCTGATTGCGCGAAGTCGCCCTGAGCGGGTCCAGCCGCTTGATGCGTTCGCGCTTAATACGATGCAGCAGGTGAAAATTCGACGACCTGCAGCTGCAGCCAGGATTTCCAGCCTCATTCTGGGGATGCGGTGGTTCTGCCACGACTCACGATGCACACAAAGAATATTCGAAGTGGAACCTGGCCCTTTTGGAAACGGAGTTGTCGATCTTGTTGCGAAATTCTAGGGGATGGGGGTGGAGCAGTCTCGGCGCCAAGTGCGATCACCACATTTTTCAATGCGCGAGTGTTCATGTGGAGACGACGGCGATGTGCAACAAGCACAGAGATCGGTGCTTGGCTGTGGCAGTTTAGGAGGTTGGTACACGCCGGTAAATGTTCGCTGCGCAGATTTAGACCCATGGTAGACTGAGCAGATACGTTGCGAACAGTTGTAGCATTGGTACACGAATAGTCCTCATTGGTCGCACAAGAAACGGTTCGCACATCCACTGCTTCCAATATGTTTCCTGGCTGGCAATACTGCTCAGAAATATCCGAGCATGTTGACACCGTTCTTAGCCGCTGCTGCCACGGTACGCTCGAGACGAGTTTTTCATCCTTGTTCGGTTCACAGTTTCAGGCGAGGTTGGTACCTGTATCTGGGGAAGAGTACGCGAGAGGTTGGGGGCGAAACGTCGGAGGTGGGAGGTAAACACAACCACGGCCCAGTTCCTTGCCTGGCTTTTTGTGAAACATAATCGTGGTGGTTGGGATCGTTTTCGTAGTCCAGGGATTGCGGAATCAAACGGTGCGTCTGAAGTCTGTCAGGGTCCAAGACAAGACACAAAGCTTCCTGCACGTTTGGCCTGCAGGCTGAGTCCGGAGAAGAGGCGGGAGAGCATTTTTTGCGTCAAGTCGCGGAGAAACTGAGGAGAAACTGGATCGAGCGGTACGGTTAGCAGTGGTCTACAGTGGGTACAGGCCAATATCCGAAGCACTCGGACTTCTATCCCAAATACTATTGTTAGGCGCTCCACCTGGTCGATAATGCAGGCACAAAATGATTCACATCCTTCGTCCAAGAGCATTGGCATTGTGACTGTAGGAAAAACTTGTATCGTGAGGTTGTACTGGATGAAACATGTCGCAAAAATTCTCCAGACGAAACAATAGTTCTCCAAACAGAAGGCTCCAGATTGCGGGAGGCGGCGCCTGAGGCAGCATATGAACATGGTGCGGCAGCAACGTTGACGGTCCGACACCGGGAGAAGTTTGCGATTCAGGCTTTTGAAAACACCACGACAGAAGTTCGCCGAGGCAAGATAATAATTCAATAGAGTCGTAAAAATACGCAATCTTTATTCCCGAGCAAGATACGGCGGTGAGCCTGTTCAAACCAAGCTGCCGGTGAAGTATCGGCAGTCGCACCTGGTGGATCCAGTTATTATTGGGTCACGTGCGCATTCTGGGCCTGCGATTGCGCCCATACGGCGACGAGGACAGCGCAACAGTGTCCAAACCTGGATGCCCTGCGTTTAATGAGTCTCCAGTGTTCATTGCAACGGCGCGCGCTTGCGACAGATCTGGGTGTGTTGTCGTATTACTATAATATCCTCTGTAATTGGAAGCGCTGTTGCCTAGGCAACTCGGCATTCTGGCCACGCTGATTCGGCCGATAATGGGGCGTCTAATCATCGGTCTGATGAGCTCGACGCTTCTCCGTAACAAGAACTTTCGTCAATTGACCTGCCCTTGCAGTCGCCTGCGGCCCCGGTCAGTCTCGGTGCTTCTGAAGTCGCGTCCGGCGCGGGGGTGGACGCAGGCTTGCGATGCAAACAGTTGCTCCTCTAGGCATGCCCTGATCGCTGCAGCGCAGATGGGTCTGGAGAAGGCTCGGATAATGAGCCTTACTCACTGGCTGCGTGGCCCTGCCAGCGCGCACCAGCTCACGCAGGGAAGCAAGAAACGGGGCCGCGACTGCACTAGAAGCGAAAATTATAAAAAAACGCTCATCGCGTGGGGAGTCCTCGTTGAGGCTCTGCGGAATTGCTCTCTCGTGCGAGCAGCAACGGAGGTCGAAAATGCCTCGTCAGCGCATCTTGCGACCAGACGCGCCTGCGAGCGAGCAGTCAGCCAGCTGCAGCGCGTCTTCGAGCCCTGCTCCCCAAAGCTTGCGCTCTTGGCTGCAGAAGCTTGGTGCATGGGGGGGCCGGAGGCTGATGCCAGTCTGATGCGCCTTACTGCTCGTGGCGTCGTGCAGTTCGAGGCAGCGATGGTGGAGGTGCTGGCTGCTTGCTCCCAACGTCATAAAGCAGGATCCCTGCTGGCGTTGCACACAGTCTCGTGCTATCCCACACGCTTAATTTCTCCTGCCGCTCAGCGTCGCGCTATGGAACTGGGACCCAGATCGCGATGGGAGAGTGGGTGTTCTAGTGGTTGCGGTGGGCCTTGAACCGCAGCGAACACCACCACAGCGAATATTGGAAAATTGATTATTGCGCGCGGTGAAAGGCATGCCAGCACAACCTGGCTTGTAACCACTCTCGCCGCACCCAGGCGCACTGATGCAGCCCGGCGGCGGACGCGGATAGGCACTCGCTGCATGGGGGAAAGGCCGCAAATCGCCTGGAGCACGGACCGCAAATGACATAGCGTGTGCGCGATTTATTGTAGCTCTTTCGGTTTGTTGTGAGCGGCACGTTGGTACGTGCTCCCTCAACCTTGGACTGCTATCGACGAGGCCAATCACCAGCCATCGGCAGACACGGATCCAGCCAGCAGATTTTTCCCTGAGCACCTTTGGATATAATCCGCTGCGGTCCCTCCTCCCTCATTCTTCCTTTACAGAGAAGGACTCGCTCGCTCCTACCGATTGCTGAGCTTGCCCGACCTTGACAACACCTCACCTCCCTCCATCCGGTCGCTGGGAGCCTTCTCTGTGACTGACAACTACTACACCCACTAATAATTCGACCACCGACATACTACTGAGCATTCCTTAATCAATATGGCACCCGGCGAAGATGTCGAGCGCGGGCGCGCTAGTAGCGCTGCTGAGCGCCAGAAGTCCATCGTCTCCATGACCGAGTTCGAGGGCATGGACGAGTACACTGCCCTGCAGAAGTACATCCTCTTCTACCGCGACCCCAGGGCTGGTGGTCACCATGTCGAGGAGGCACCAAAGAAGAAGCGCTGGTGGCAGTCTGGCGGCGGCCAGGCCGCAGGTGGTGCTGACTTGGCTGCTGAAGTCCCTGATGACTGTACGTATTTTACCCATTCGCATCTCCATCTCATCAATTGGCTCCCCAATGGCGCTCTGCAACCAGCTGCACCGATTTCATCACCGATTGCAAGCTTTGTTGGGCGATTATCATTACGCCATCATTCGGTGGCGCGCTGGAGCTGGTTGCGTATAGCTTCAAGCTGCATGCCGGGAGCTTCCAGCTTGAGCTTGGAGCTTGCTGCAGCCGGTGTGGGGCCGCAGTCACGTGCAAATCCATTAGCTGTCGCACCAGCCGCTCCATAGCAACACCCCAGCATACATCCCGTTTTTGTGCAATTTCATCAAAACGCATTTGCTAACTTACGATGCAGTCGTCAACACTGAGCTCCGCACTGGTCTTTCCAGCCACGAGGCGGACAGCCGTCGCAAGCGCTATGGTTTCAACGAAATCTCGTCTGAGAAGACCAACCTGCTGAAGCAGTTCATGGGTTACTTCACCGGCCCCATCCTTTACGGTATGCAAACCTACACAACTTCATTGGCCGTGCATCACTAACGCGATACAGTCATGGAACTTGCTGCCCTTCTCGCCGCCGGTCTTCAGGATTGGATCGATTTTGGTGTTATCTGCGGTATCCTTCTTCTTAACGCTGTCGTCGGTTGGTACCAGGAAAAGCAGGCCGCCGATGTCGTCGCCTCCCTTAAGGGTGACATCGCCATGAAGGCGACTGTCGTCCGTGACAACCAGCAACAGACCATCCTCGCCCGTGAGCTCGTTCCCGGTGACATCGTTGTCGTCGAGGAGGGTTCCACCGTTCCCGGTGATGTCCGTCTTATCTGCGACTACGACCACCCTGAGGACTTCGAACTCTACCTCAAGCTCAAGGCTGAGGACAAGTTCCACGACGGCGACCCAGAGGACGAGAAGGACGAAGTCGATGAGGATAAGTTCGATGAGGAGAACCCTATCACTCAGGGTGTTTCTCTCGTTGCTTGCGATCAGTCTGCCATCACCGGTGAATCTCTCGCTGTCGACAAGTACATGGGCGAGGTCGCTTACTACACCACTGGTTGCAAGCGCGGCAAGGCCTACGGTATTGTCATCGCCACTGCTAAGCACTCTTTCGTCGGTCGCACTGCTTCGCTCGTCCAGGGCGCTCAGGACCAGGGTCACTTCAAGGCTATCATGAACTCCATTGGTACAGCGCTTCTCGTCTTGGTCATGTTCTTCATCCTCTTGGCCTGGATCGGTGGTTTCTTCCGTCACATCCCCATCTCCGTCGCTCGTGAGGGTACCGACAAGTCTGTCACCCTTCTCCACTACGCCCTCATCATGTTCATTGTCGGTGTTCCCGTCGGTCTTCCCGTTGTCACCACCACCACTCTTGCTGTCGGTGCCGCCTACCTCGCCGAGCAGAAGGCTATCGTCCAGAAGCTCACTGCTATCGAGTCCCTCGCTGGTGTTGACGTTCTCTGCTCTGATAAGACCGGTACCCTTACCGCTAACCAGTTGTCTCTCCGTGAGCCTTACGTCGCTGAAGGCCAGGATGTCAACTGGATGATGGCTGTCGCTGCTCTTGCTTCTTCCCACAACCTCAAGTCTCTCGACCCCATCGACAAGGTTACCATTCTGACCATCCGCCGCTACCCCAAGGCTCGTGAGATCCTCAACATGGGTTGGAGGACCGAGAAGTTCACTCCCTTCGATCCCGTCTCTAAGCGTATCACCGCTGTCTGCCATATGGGTGGTGACAAGTACGTCTGCGCCAAGGGTGCCCCCAAGGCCATTGTCAACCTTGCCAACTGCGACGAGATCACCGCCAATCTGTACAAGGAGAAGGCCTCCGAGCTCGCCCGTCGTGGTTTCCGTTCCCTCGGTGTCGCTTACCAGAAGAACGACGGTGACTGGATCCTTCTCGGTCTCTTGTCCATGTTCGACCCCCCTCGTGAGGATACCGCCCAGACCATCATTGAGGCTCAGCAGCTCGGTGTTCCCGTCAAGATGTTGACTGGTGACGCTATTGCCATCGCCAAGGAGACCTGCAAGATGCTTGCCCTCGGAACTAAGGTTTACAACTCTACCAAGCTCATTCACGGTGGTCTTACCGGTACCACTCAGCACGATCTCGTCGAGCGCGCTGACGGTTTCGCCGAAGTCTTCCCCGAGCACAAGTACCAGGTCGTCGAAATGCTCCAGCAGCGTGGTCACTTGACTGCCATGACTGGTGACGGTGTCAACGATGCTCCTTCCCTGAAGAAGTCTGACTGCGGTATTGCCGTCGAGGGTTCCACTGAGGCTGCCCAGGCCGCCGCCGATATCGTCTTCCTTGCCCCCGGTCTGTCCACCATCGTTCTCGCCATCAAGACTGCCCGCCAGATTTTCCAGCGTATGAAGGCCTACATCCAGTACCGTATCGCCCTCTGCTTGCACTTGGAAGTCTACCTCGTCACCTCGATGATCATTCTCAATGAGACCATCCGTGCTGAGCTCATTGTCTTCCTTGCCCTCTTCGCTGATTTGGCTACCGTCGCCGTCGCTTACGACAACGCTCACTCTGAGCAGCGTCCCGTCGAGTGGCAATTGCCCAAGATCTGGTTCATCTCCGTCATTCTCGGTCTTCTCCTCGCTCTCGGTACCTGGGTCGTTCGTGGCACTCTCTTCCTGCCCAACGGTGGTATCATCGTCAACTTCGGTGCCATCCAGCCCATCCTCTTCCTCGAGGTTGCCCTTACTGAGAACTGGCTCATCTTCGTCACCCGTGGCGGTAAGACTTTCCCCTCGTTCCAACTGATCATCGCCATTCTCGGTGTCGACGCCCTTGCCACCATCTTCGCCCTCTTCGGCTGGATGTCCGGTACCGACTACCAGACCAACCCTCCCACCCACAACTCCAAGTTCCAGGAGCGCGGCTGGGTCGACATTGTCACCGTTGTCATCATCTGGGCTTACTCCATTGGTGTTACAATCATCATCGCCATTGTCTACTACCTGCTCAACCGCATTACATGGCTCGACCAGCTTGGCCGCAAGGACCGCCACAGGAAGAACCCTCACATTGAGAACATGATTGCTGCCCTCAGCAAGCTTGCTCTCGAGCACGGTGTCGACAAGCACGGAACCCAGCGTTACGTCCTTGCCGCTCGCGCTGCCGAGGAAGAAGACGACGAGTAAATGTAAATTACGGTGCATGGATGCATATGAGAAAGATGAACGGCTTATGTGGTTGGTTATATGTACTGGCCATGGGTGTGATGAGCCCACCTCCTTAGTGAGGTTAATAATCAGTCGCCGTTTCTTAATTACTCTCTGTATACCAAGGAGCATATTTCTTTGTAGTAATTGATACCGATTGAAGTTAAACACTCTACCTCGCCATTGCTTGTGACGTTTGCAATCTTCGTGCTTTTACTATAGTTACTATCATTCTTAGATCTATCTGCGCGTCCAATATCTACAATCCTGGAGCTTTCAAGCCATGTTCCAAGCTGTGGTTGCTCTACAGTTGACGTTCAGCAATGCTCAATTGAGGCTGCTATCTAGACCCATCTGGTCTTGTCGCATCGCAGTCCCTTCTTCAGAACGGTGCGGCTAGCATCTTGCATATCGGGTGAATTCACGGGTGTCAGGTCGTTAGGTGCCGCCTCTCTGCTGCCCTGCAAGCCTCGCAATTCCCTGATGCCAATCAGCCCTACAAACTGCCGAAATGTGACAAATTCAATGCGAGCTGGCTGTAGATAGCGAGCCAAGCACCTCCCCAGTGCCACAAGTGAGTGTCAAAGTCCGCCTTGAAGTCTGATTGATGATTACGGTTTCACTTCCGGTCAGCTATCGCTATCAAGACGTCCCGGTGCAGGTGGTTGGTCTGTGTGGGTAGGGATTGCAGGGCAGTGACAAGTCGTCACAGATTGCCGTCTGCAGCTGCTAAATTTCGAAGCGGTGCTGTCGCTGCCAGCGCCCCCAAGCGGGGTAGATCAGTGCCCATGGAGCTGGGCGAATTAGTATTGGACAGTCGCGACGACAGTTTGCATCCGCAGCGCTGGTTCTGCCTTTGGTTGCCCGTCGCGGTGCATCGTGACCAGGCGGTGCGAGACGGACGCAGAAACGCAATTGCAGCTCCCACGGCCGTGGCGGGTTCCAGAGTTCAGCCATGAAGCTTTGGTTAGCGAAGTGCAGAAAGGACAGCGTGAAGAGATAGCGAACAAGGTGGATGTGATTGGTCAATGGCTGCTTGGAAGGCTTGGAGATGTGCATGCAGTAGCGTATGCGCTTGGTGCATCCCGCATCGTGGGGTAGCTGCGGTTGGTGGTTGGTGAGCGCATGGTTAGCTGCAAGTCGATGTGAACTTGTGGGCTTGACACGAGGGTGTGTGGTCGCGGCTGGGCTTGTTCAAACATTGAAGTCTGTGATTCCGTGATGAGTCAGGTGAACAATCGTGCGTTGAGATGTCTTTGTCAGAGAAACTGAAGCTGAAGCTCTGACCTTCAAGGTTGGGAGCTTCAGAGCTTG